CAGTTTTGGGGGGTTTTTTCAAGCTAAAGAGGGGCAAGTTTTATTGGGGCCCAAAGTTAAAGGGGTTTTAATGATTTTTTTTATAAAAAATTAGGAGAAAAAGGGGGGAAAAATTTTTTGTAATAGGAAGGGGAATTTTACAGAAAGGGTCGTTTTTAAGGGGGGGGAAAACCCCCAAAAGTTTTTCCGGCAAAGTTTTGGTGGGTTTATTTTAGTTTTTTTTGGGAAGGGTAGGGGAAAAAAAAAGGATTTAGGAAATTTAAAGAAAAAAGGGAAAAGGGGGGTGGGGGTTTTTTTAGAAGGGGATTTAAAGTTTTAAAAGGGGGTTTTTGGTAGGGGTGGGGGGGGAGGGGTTTTTTGGCCCATTGGGGGGGTGCGGGGAAAAAAAAGGGTTTTTAAAATTGGGGGGGTTTTGGGGGGGGGGTTTGGGGTTTTTTGGGCCCTTTTTTTTTTTGGGTGGGTTTTGGGGAAGGGGTTTTTTTAAGGGAAATTGGGAGGGGGAGGGTTGGGAAAGGGTTTTGGGGGGAAAAGTTTTGGAGTTTTGGGTTTTTGGGGTTTTGGGGTTTTGGGAAGGGGGTTTTTGGTTTTGCAAAAGGGAAGCGGGGTTTGGGGGGGGGGTGGATTTGGACGTTTGTGAAGTGGGATAAAATGGGGGGAAAAGGGGAAAACTTTTTTTTGGGGGGGGAAAAAAAAAAAAATTTGGTTAAAAAGGGGTTTTTAAAAGGGGGTTTTGGGGGGGGGGAGTGGTGGAAAATTTTAAGGGGGGTGGGGGGAAGGTAATGGTGACAAAGGGGGGGGTTTTTTTGGGGGGGGTGGGTTTTTGAAAAGGGGGGGGGGGTTTTTTAAAGGGATAAAATTTTTTAAAAGGTTTTGAATTTTTGGGTGGGGCAAAATTTTTTAGCGGGGGAAAAGGGGGAAAATTTTTTTTTTTTGGGGGGGGGGTTTTGGGAAAAGGGTGGGCCCCTTTTTTAGGGGGGGGGGGCGGGGCCCCTTTGAGGGTATTTGGTTTTTTCTGAAAAAGGGGGGTTTAAGGGGTTGGGGGGGGGGTTAAAAAAATCCCCTGGATCTTGGGGTTGGTTTTAAATTTTTGGGGGGAAAAGGGGTTTTTTAAGGAAAGGGGCCGAAAACAAAAAGGTTCTTTTGGTTTGGGGGTGGTTTCTTTTGGGGAGTTGGGGGGTATATTGGGGGGTTTTGGGGGTTTTTTAATAGGGGTAAACCAAGGGGAGGGGTTTTTTTTTAAGGGTCCCTTTTTTGGTTTTTTTTGGAATAAGGGGGGGTGGGAGGAAAGGTGTGGGCCGGAAACCAAATTTCAGGGGACTTTTGAAGTTTGAAAGGGATCCGAATGGGATTTTAGGGGGGGGGGGGGGTTTTAAGGGGGCGGGTTGGGGGTTTTGGTTGGGGGGAAAATTGTTTTGGGGTTTGGTATTTTTTTTTAAATTTTTTATTTTGGTGAGGAGTGGCGGGGGGGAAAAGTTTTTTCCAGTTTTTCAAAGTGGAATAATTTTTGGGGAAAAAAACGCATTTGAAGGTTATGAGTTGGTGAAGGATTTAAGATTAAGGTTTTTATTGGGCCCAAAATTTTTTAAGGGAAAAGTGAAAGATGTTAGGGGTTTTTGGGGGTTTTTTAAAATTTAAAAAAAATTTTTGATTTTTGTTGGGGGGTTTTTAAGAAATTTTTTTTCCAAATTTTTTTTCAGAAGGTTTGTTTTTTTTTTTTTTGGGAATATTTTTAGGGGAAGAAGGTTTTAGGTGACCAAAAGGGTGCAAATTTTTTGGTTTTTCTTTTTTCCTAAATTTGGTTTTTTAAAAAAAATATTTTTTAGGATTTTTTTTTGTTTAAAAAGTTTTTTTTTTTCCCTTTTGATACTTTGTTTTTTTGTATTTAAATGTATTTGGTTTTATTTTAAAGTTAATTTTTTTTATCCATAAAAGTTTTTTTTTTTTTTTTTTTTTTTTTTAAATTTTTAATTTTTTCATTTTTTATTTTAAAATATACCCCCCCAAGGGGGTTTGAGGGGGGGGGGTTTTTTTTAAAAATTTTTGGGGGGTTGGGGTTTTTTTTGGGGGGGGGGGGTTTTTTGGGGGGGGGGGGGTGAAAAATTTTTTTTTTAAATTTTTTTTTTTTTGTAAAATTTTAATTAAATTTTTTTTTTTTTTTGATATTTTTAAAAAATTTTTTAAAAAACTTTTATTTTATTTTTTTTGGATTTAAAAATTTAAAAAAGATATTGTTTTATATGTGTAGGTTTATAGGTATTCAACATGCTTGTTGTATGTTCCCTTTTCGATACTTTTGTTTTAATTGTCATTTCAATGTACTTTGTTAGTATTATACAACGGTATTGTTCTTTACCATATGAAGTTTTTTTTTTTTTTTTTTTTTTTTTCAGGTTATGTTATGTTCTAGGTTTTTGTATGTTGAGATGTACTTATAGGCTGTCGGCACCCTGATATTGGTTTTTCATGGCAATATTCTTGACGTAAGTTTTGGCTGTATGGTATACAGATATATTTAGCCAGTTTATAGACGCATTCCTTTTGTGTCTGAGATTGTTGTATACGGGTTTATTGTAACTGTAATGAGTCGGTTTTGATATCTAAGCTGTTTTCTTTGTATGTTTATTTGTATTTTGGTATATGTAAAGCTGTAATGTTAGGGATAAGTATGTAGATGTTCTAGTAGGATTATGATGTTAGGTTTTGGTTTATTGATTAATGAGAAGGCTGGAAGTAATTGTTACATTTTCTTGTATATATTATTTTCAACTGTAATGAGTTTTGTCATATGTCATGCTATGTAAAATTTATATGTAAGTTAGGTTTTAAGTCATTGAATGTTTATATATGTTAGTTCATGACCCCGTTACTGTGGTTATTCGTAGCTATGTTCTTGCCGTAAGTTATTGTTGTATGTTATACAGCTATATCTTGCAAGTATATAGGTGCAATCCATTTGTTAGTTTATTTTGTGTTGGGTTGCTTATGTCAATGGCCGAACCTTCAGGATTGAGATCCAAACTGTTTCCTTTTATTTTTATTTTTATGTATACTGTATTGGTTATAAATAAAATATAAAAAAAAAAATGCAATATAATATAATACAATGAGAGTACTTTTGATGATTCATACTGTACCCGATAATAATATATAGTCGAACCTGCTTTATCTAGCTAGTAATAAAGTGGTTCGTGATATATTATTACAGAACTTATTTTAACCAGGCCTTTTATTTTTGTATATAATGGAGTGAAGTAGGGGCGCGTAACAGTTATCAGGGCCTGTGCTCTTAGTTGGGTTTAATCTGCTTAGTTCTTTTTGAATAAAGTCATGAGATACACTTACTAGTTGACAACTGTTTGGGGTTACCCCTTTATTGGTATAGTATGTTTGAAACTTATCAGAGTCTGTGTTAAAGGTATTTGATGCAGCTGGTAGTTTACTTACTAGTGTTGATGCAACAGATGTGTAGTAGGAATTAAAGCAATTTGCCACCTTAGATGTTTCGTGGCATACCTCATTATCGATACTGAGTACTATGTTAGACCTATCTACTGGCTTATGGCTATACCCCAACTGTTTTAGTTGTTGCCAGAGCTTTCTGGGGTTATGCTTATACTCTTCAATTTTTGAGCAATAGTGCTTTGCCTTTGCTCCTTTCATAAGTCTCTGTACTCTGTTCCTCACCCTTTGGAATTCATTTAGTGCTGCAATATCCTGTCTGTTTGCTTTAAATCTTTTTAGCAGCTGGTCTCTGAATTTCATATTATCTAATATCTCAGTAGTCATCCAGGGTTCAGTTCTTCGTTTAATCCTAACCTCTTTAACTGGTGCAATATTATCAAGGATGGTAGTGAACATTGTTTTGAATTTTTCCCAGGCATCGTTTACGTCCGTGCAACTTGTTATCTCTGTCCAGTCACAATTATGTAGCCTATTTACCAGTGTTTCTTTACTGTAGTTTCTAGTTGACCTAATTTTTATTGTCCAGTGTAGGCCTATCCTATCCCTAGTGATTTTCCTGGTGCAGTAAATGATGAAATGATCACTAAAACCTGTGGTAATGATGCCTGACTGACTAATGTTCTCAGCACGGTTACAAAGTATGTGGTCAATTAGAGTGGCTGCATTGTCCTCATCGCTCTCGGGCCGTGCGGACAGGCTGACCAGTAGCTCCTGAATCAACTGGTTTCTGCATAGTTTTCAGAGTTCCAAGATGGCGGATCATGCCAGCAGGGTTAACACTGTTTGCATCGAGCTGATACAGGGATCGTTGAGCACGGCTACAATGATTGTGCTTCTTCCAGCTATTATTAGAGATCTCTATGGCATCCCTAATGAGGAGCTCTATGGTGTTGCCCTCAATGGTTTGAGAAGAGTCTTCGTGAAGTTTACGAGGGCCAGTTTCTACAGTAGTATGGTGGCTGAGTACCAGGAACGAAGGATGTGCCTTAACTCGACGGTGGAGGTGTGTATGCATGATGTGTCTACATACTTCACATGGGTTAGGGTACGAAATGTACCGTTTGAGGCGACGCAGTTTGGAATTGAGGACGTCTTCAGAAACTATGGTGTTGTTCATAAGGCTAGACGGGGGTGTGTGGAGGGATGGCTCATATGAAGGCCTCCCGGAAGGTTCCTACACCCTCAAGATGATGTTGAGGAGGCCTATACCTTCACATATTCTGTTGACTGGATACAGAACTCAAGTCTATGTGCATTATGCAGGGCAAAGGAGGACGTGCCGTCTTTGTGACTCGTACTAGCACATGGCGGCGCAATGTGTATGTAGGGCTGCCCCATGTGTGCCAACCCTTTTGGAGGAGGAACGACAGCTGAGTACGGTGGTAACAGCTAGGAATGGGACTGATGGACAGAGGAAGGCTCTCTGGAGTGAGGAGGTGGAGAATGAGGGGGACCTGTTGGGGACGTGTGTCACACTCCCAGAGGAGGCTAGTGAGGTTCCACCAAGGCCTGTGGTGGTGGAGGGAGGGGAAACGTCGATGCAGGAGGTGTTATTGGAGTCTGTGCTACAGGATTTCTTGGAGGACGCTTTGGTCGGAGAGGACCTGGATGGAAGGTCCAGTGATGTGCAGAAGATGGAAGGGCTGCAGGGGAAAGTGGAAGTCTTGGATAAGCGAGGCCAGGAAACAGTTGTGGTAGCTGAGGTACATAGGGAGGATGTACCTGAGGAAGATATAAGTTTGGGCGGTAGCTCTAGGAAGCAGCCTATGGGGTCGTCTGAATTGGATGAAGTATTGATACCTGGGCAGAGACCAGGTAAGAAGGCATGGGCAGATGTGGTAGGGAAAACCACTACACGGGGGGGTGGACAGGGGAAATCGGGTGGGGTGGGTCAAGGAGGGGTGGGGGGTCTGATTAAGAAGAATGGTAAGGAGAGTGTGAGCAGCTTAAAAGGGAGTGTGAGCAAGCCACAGCAGCACAGAGGTAAGCCACCTTTCCTTGAACATTCAGGCGTGTGACTTTAAATGTTAATGGTTTCAAGAATGAAGTCAAAAGGGTCTGGTTGGAGTGGTTTTTGAGAAGGTATGACGTGGACGTTTGTTTCTTGCAAGAGCATAACCATAGGTCAGGATGTGAGTTGCAATTGAGGGGATATAAGATGTTTGTAAGTTTGGCTTTGCATTTTAAGGGAGGAGTGGCTGTATTGGTAAAGGAGACCAGCCCATTGCGCTTCATGAGGTGGGAGGAGGGGGGAGGGGGAGGGTTGTTCGGGTGGATGGGTATTGGGGGAGAGTAGGATGTTTTGTGGGGGTTTACATGCCAGCAATTAGTAATATGAGGGTAAAAGCAGACTTTGTTATGAAAGTTTTGCTCTACTATCTCAGGGGTTTACCTGCTATTTTCGATAGTTGGAGGAGAATTGGAATTGTGTGATTCGGCATGGAGATGTGATACCTAGGGGTGCGGGGTGTGTGTTGAGTGTTTTAAGGGATGCTTTATGGGATGTGGGGGTGGTTGATGTGGTGGTCAGGGGGGGGGGATCAGGTGGAACACACCTATGTGCAGGGGAGAGACGAAGCATGGTTGGATACGATTTATGTTATGCAGGGGATAGGTGTGGAGAGGGTTAGGACTATTGAAGTGGGTTTGTCTGATCACAGGGCAGTGTTGGCTGACCTTAGGGTAGATGGTATTCCGCGCATATTTCCGAGTTATTGGAAATTGAATGTGCGGCTTTTACAGGAGGAGGATCTAGGTTTGTCCTTTCAGGACTGGTGGAAAGTTTTTTGGGAGGCTAAGGATGAGGATGTGAATTTGCTAGATTGGTGGGAGTTGTATGCAAAGGTGGAGATTGCAAGATTTTTCAAGGCGCGTGGCAGGGAACGGGCATGCTGGCGGTTTGGCTTGCAGAATTACTTAGAGGGGCAGTTGAATGATTGTTATGGATGGGGGGGGGGGTAGGGAAGGTGTGAGTGGTGTTATGGGGGAACTTAGAAGTCGTTTAGTGGAGATTCATAACGAAAGGTTTGATGCACTCAGAGTCAGGGCAGGCTTGGAGGACGTCTTAAAAGGGGACAGGCCATCTGGGTATGTACTAAGGAAATTCAAGGACAGACAGCTGAGGACTACTGTGGCACATTTAGTGGTGGGGAGGGTGGGGGTTATGTGCAGGGTCAGGGTCTTTCTGATACAGACAGTATCAGTAGGTATGCAGATTATTGGTTTCGGGAGAAATGGAAGAGGAGGGAGGGGGTTGTTGGGTTGGATTCATTTGGGGTTATCGGGGCTCATCTGGGTTTGGGGCATGGGGACAGGGAAATGTTGGAGGGCAGCATTAAGGAGGCAGAGGTGGAGGAGGTGGTGAATGGGTTGAGTCAGGGGAAGGCACTGGGTATAGATGGTTTATCTAATGATTTTTATAGAGCACATTGGGAGAGTCTGAGGGAGTGCCTAGTGGCAGTTCTGAATTATATGTTGAGCAGTGGTAGGATGGGGCGAACACAGAGAACTGGGGTTGTTGTCTTGGTGCCGAAGGGGAGGGAGGGAAAGGGTTTGGGTGATTATAGTCCATTGTCATTAATATGTTCGGATTATAAAATTTTTGCAAAGATATTGTGTAATAGATTAAAGAAGGTAATTGTGGATGTCATACATAGAGATCAGTATGGGATCCCAGGACGAAGTATGAAGAATGGGCACAGTAGGATAAGGGATTTTATAGAGAACTGCCTGGGAGGGGGCGTCCTTTGTTTGGATTGGGCTCAGGCTTATGACTGTGTGAAGAGGGAATTTTTATGGGTCTTTTTGGAGAAGTTGGGTTTTGGAGGGGGGTAGTGAGATGGGTGCGCACTGTATATGAGGGGGCAGTCATGAGGGTGCAGGTTAATGGAAGGCTGGGGGAGCCAGTGCTGATGGAACAGGGCTTAAGGCAGGGTTGTCCGCTCTCGCAATTGCTCTTTGCATGTGTGCAGCATCCTTTCTTGGAGGCTGTGGAGGAGGAATTGTGGGGGGTAGAGGGGGGCTGCATGGGGGGAATTGTAAGTTATGTTGATGACACCACTGTTCTGGTAATGAGTGGGGGGGCTTTAAGAAGGGTGGGTGAGGTGATTAAGAGTTTTGGGGATGTTTCGGGTATGGAAGTTAATCTTGCAAAGTCGAGGTTGTTGGAGGTAGGGACTTGGGCTGGGGGGAGATTGAGGGAGGAGATGGGATGGACAGTTGGTGACAGACTTAGGGTTTGTGGGATATGGTATATGGCGCAGATGCAGGATTGCAGGAGGATCAACTCTGAACTAGTCACAAGTAGGGTTATGGGCAAGCTTAAAGGTTTGAGGGTTAGTGAAGTGGCATTACAGCAGAGGGTTTTGGTTATTAACTCGCTGGTGTATAGTAAGGTATGGGGTGTGGCAGAGGTGTTACCTTTGCGGACGCAGGACATTCAGGAAATACAGAGGAGGGTTTTGAGGTTTGTGTGGGGGTTTGGGAGGGCCTGGTTATCTAAGGAGGTGGTTATGACAGATGTGAAACGGGGGGGCCTAGGATTGTTGGCTTTGGGGCCTAGGGTGATGGCCTTATATATTAAGCAGAGGTATATTAGGGTGGGGGGGAGGGGGTGTTAGGTGGATAGGTGATGAGGGATGCTAGAAACTGGTGGAGTGGCAGGGACTTGAGGAATTGGGAGGATTTGCTGAGGTTCTTGTTGACAGTGCGACAGGTTTCAATATTGAGGGTTAAAACGTTGATGGGTGTGGTGTGGGGAAGGGGTGTCTTACAGGGGGTTGCCGTGTACCCCATGTATAACTGGCATGGTGATAGGAGGGAGTTCAGGCTGCTTAGGATACCAGCAAGGGTCGGGGAGTTGGTATACCGTTTCCTCATGGGGGTAGTAGCATCCAAGCATGTGTTGCATAAAATGGGGTTGGTGAGGGAGGCGACATGCTTGTTCTGTGGGGAGGAGGAAACCGCCTATCATGTGGTATATTTTTGCTCGTCTTTGGGGGGGTGGGTCTGGATGGCGGGTGTTATCAGGCTGTTAGGGGGAAGTTGGTCATTTCTTAGGACCTTGTCGATGGATGTCAGTGGGGTATCACGAGAAGTGGGAAGGGCTTTGATGTATGTTATGGCGGATTATTTGCATGTTTCTTGGGGAATGAGGGAGATTAAAGGGCAGTTGAGGATAAAAGCGTTAGCAGCTAGGTTCTATAGAACAATGTGTAGGAATAGATTAATCTATGGGGGGGGGGCGTTGGGAGTCCAGTTTCTCGGAGGGTTATCGTAATCTCTGTGGCAAAACTCCTCCGGGATCAGGGGGGCGGGCAAGGAGCAGGTCTCCATTAGTGAATGGTGCGCATGGTAAGGTTGTGAAGGTTATGTTGTATGTGATGTGTGAATGGAGTATGTGAGGGCATCAATTTGAGACCTGGTTGTGTTCCTTGTGGGTTAATTCATCTTTTAATTTGATCAGTCACCCTGATTTCAGTTTAGTTCCACATGTAAGTCATATATATATTTTTTGGTAATTGGATAATTTTATACTTTATGTGAAAATTAAAAAAAAAGTACTGTGTTAATTTTATACCCAAGTTAAATTTAATTGCTGTTCAACGAAATTGGTTGTGGGGCTCTGTGACCCTGCATACTTGTATATTTGCATATTTGCATTGTTGTAAAATTAGTGGTTTAGGTATGAAGTTTAGTGGTATGGTTTAACACCTGGAACAAAATAATTGTTCCCTTTTATGCACAGGCAAATGGTGTGTTAATTTGTTAAGGCGTTTGTGTTTTTTTGGACACACGTTTTTAATATTTAATAATATATTGTATGTAATCTATGCAAAACATATTAGTGTGGCATTCACTTACATGAGGAACAATGCTGGGAGGGGGGGGGGTGTTGGAAGGGCATGTTGGGGCTTTATTGTGTATATGTATATATATATATATATATATATATATATATATATATATTTTAAATATATATATATATATATATATATATATGTATATATTTTACTAGTTGCAACACTCACGATTTCAGGAATAAGGCACTGGGAGGATAGATTTGCCGTAGCTGTGCACCCTTTCAATCACACTGTTAGGATTGTGTGCCTATTGAAGGTGTGAGTGTTTATGTAACACCAGGGTATGGATATAACATATTGTGCAGGTAGATATTGAGTGAGTAAACCATTACTGAACTTGATTGTTCTAAGCTACTGTAATTTTATGGTTGTATGTGCATCATAAGTATGCATCTCCTTTTTTTTTTTTTTAAAGTTTATACATATATATTATTGAACTAGCTTATATATTCTTGTTGCAACAAGATTGCAATGATACCAAGTTACGGATATGTTGTGTTTTGAAATTAGGGGGAATTGATTAGTATAGATGGGGATGATTGTCATTTTAGGGTAGTGTCTAGGACACTTTTGTGGAAGGTTTACATGGGTTTATTTTTTAATAAACCTACTTAACTTATCTCTGTAAATAAATCATACTAGAAAATAGCTTTTATAATTATGTATGTTATGCACTGCTGTAATGTTACAGCTGTAAGTGCAACACATGTATATATATTTTCAATGTTCGGGTTATAGATATTGTTGTCATTACTGATATTGTATAGTAGCTCCAGTCAGGCGCTGGACGACTAGCAATGAACTTGATATTTTATGTTTCCTTGTAGCCTTAAGTTGTATAGTTAAGTCGTCCAGGGTAGAGTCCAGTACACTTTCAGAGTGGACGGGGAGCTTGAGTTTTACCCCTTATATGACATGATTGTAATACATGATGTATATAATTATATGAGGATT